TAATGGCTAATCGCTAATGGCAAATCTAAAGACGAATGGAAATAAAATACAAATACACTATATTTTCCATGCGGCGGCATTAGAAGATAAAAGACATTGTTCCATCTGAAAATTGTCAGTCATGTGTCTTGTGTTATTAATTATTTTACAACGCTCATGCAAAAGATAAGTGTAATCATGAGCTAAAAGGAACAGAATAACACATTACGCCGATATCATTTCAATTTCAACGTAAAGAAGAGGGTCATGATGTCCCTTTTATCGCTCCCTGATTATGAAGGCTCAGTCGCAATTTTCAGGATATTTGTTCTGGAACAGTATCCCCAAGTGTGTTAAGGTTTTTTTCATATTGGGTCTGTGTAACCTTGTTTTTGATCCCTGGAAACTCATATTCGAACTTGACTTTGAAATCATAATAACAATCTTTCAGCTTAATTACCAAAAAACCGGACTGAAATATTGCCCCTTAGTGCGTCAACAACCTTTGCCCTTATCTGGTTTGTGTGTCCTTGTATTTGACAACAGATGACACATATTCGAGCTTGACATAGAAAACATCAAAACAACTGTTTCTGACCATCTCCAATATATTTGGATCAAACTAGTAGCCTTATGAGTGTAAACAGGATTATTCTATAAGTGGTCTGTGTGACCTAGTTTTTGACCTAATGTGGCCCATTTTCAACTTGAACTTGAAACTATCATAACAATCTTATGGCCAATGTCCAGAAAATTTGGATCAAGACAGTTGCCACTAGAGTTTTAACAAGGTTTTCTTTTACATTTTTCGGCTGTGTGATCTAGTATCGACCCGAAGTAACCCATATTTGAACTTGATTTAGAAATCAAGTAAAAAAACCTTTCTAACCAATTTCGAGGACTTTTTAACAAAATATATAAAGTGAACAAGGTTTTACAAAATTTTGCCTGTGTGAGCTAGTTTTTGAGCCAATGTGACCAATATTAAAACAAAACGTTGAAATCAGCATTACAGTCTTTCTGACCAATTTTCAGGGAATTTGGTTTGAAACAGTGGCCCTTAATGTGCTTACAAGGTTTTTCTGTTTTTGGGATATGTGACCTAGTTTCTGACCCCAGGTTACCCATATTCAAATTTTACATTAGAAATTCTTAAAGCAACCATTCTGACCAATTTCAAAAATATTTGGAACAAAACAGTAGCCTCTAGAGTGTGAACAAGGGGTTTTCATAGTTTGGTTATGTGACCTATTTTTTGACCCAAAGTAACTCATAATTAAACTTAACTTAAAAATCATCAACTTAGGTGATCCATATTTAACTTGACCTGAAAATCACAAAAAAAAAACCCTTTCTGGACGATTTCAAGAATATTTGAATCAAGACTGCAGCCTATAGAGTATAAACAAGGTTTTTACCATAGTTGGGCTATGTGATCTAGTTTTTGACCCCAGGTGATCTAGATTTTAACTTGACCTATAAATCATCAAAAAATATTTCTGACCCATTTCAAGAATATATGGATCAAAACAGTAGCCTTTAGAGTTTTAACAATGTTTCTCAATATGTAGTTTTTGACTCCAAGTGACCCATATTCAAACTTGACCTTACCAAATTTCTGTGGCAAGTAGAAGATACGTTTTTAATGAAATTAATTGTTTACCATTCAATGTTTCTGTCAGCAAAAAATATAATGTATTTCAAAACATCAAAGTTAAGTTTTCGAAATTAAGAGTTGAAATTTAAAATTTAGCATGTTATAGGACTTTACGACAATTTTTATATAAATAGTTTAGGAGGTTTCCCGTCGCGAATTTGTAGCACAACACACAGGGTCATTGTAAATCTAAACGGTTGAGATTTTCATAACTTCCTAACATTTGAGAGAGAGCCGTCTCTCTGATAGTTGGCGCGGTTTAGACTTTTCAATTTAACGATCCGTATTACGATATTGCATTCTAAGTCTGTTCAGGAGCAGGCTGTTATCTCAGGACTCGGGTTTGAGGATAAGTGATGTAGGCATAACTGGGCATTAATAGAGATATTGTGTAAGTGTAAGTTCAGTACTGAATTTATTGAACGAGTTGACTAGAATTATAATGTTCGAACTTTTGGCAAGCATATAGTATTAATTCATTCAATGAGTTCAAGAAATTCAATATTGAACTTACACGAAAATAATATTCTATTTATCACATACCAAAGGTAAAGACTGTTTGAAGTGTAAAAGTAATAAATGCATGGTTGTGTAATACCATTTTTACGCTTAAAACTAATGTTATAATGTAACTGGTTGAGAAAGATTTCATTTTTTGTCCTAATGGGTGAGTCTGCTAGCACTACCACAACACACATGATGCGCGAGAGTACTATATATTATCCTAAATGTTGAGAAAGAAGTCGTTATTTTGCATAATATGGGTGAGAGTAAAGCACTATAAAACACATAATGAATGAGAGAATTGTTATAAATTATCCTAATGATTGAGAGAGATGTCATTATTTATCGTAAAAGGTGAGAGAAATGACTCATATATAATTTAATGACCGAGAAAACTATTTTATATTATCTTAAGGATTGAAAGAGGTCATTTTTTCCTAATGGGCGAGAGCAAAGCACTAAAAACATGTAACCACACAAACTTTCAGAAACAGGTTGCATGATGCTGGGTTGAGGTCACGGAGGCCAGCAAACGCATTCCTTTAACAAAACGCCATATTCAAGAGCATTTGCAATTGGCGCAGTCACATGGACAGTTAATGATTTTACACCGGTCCTCTTCATATGATGAGTAAAGGTTTTGTGTGGACTTCACGGACAGACGGGCAAGGGTTTGGAGAAGTCCAAATGAACGCTCAACTCCAGCATGCATTGCAGAACACGACAGTTTTTGCGGGGATTCAGTCATTGTGTGGGCGGGAATAGGCGCTCAGGGAAAAACGGACCTATACATCATTAAAAACGGTACACTGACGTCAGTAAGGTACGTCAATGAAATCTTAGACGTGCATGTTCGCACGTACGCTGGCACAGTCGGCCCTGATTTCATTCTTATGGACGTGCACACAGAGCCAACATCACAAACCAATATCTCGAGGAGGTATCTATAGTCCGCATGGGTTGACCAGCGCGGTCACCGGATTTAAATACAATTGGGCATGCTTGGGATATGCTGCAGAACGCCATTTCTTCACGCAACGTCCAACCATCAACAGTTTAGGAGCTAAGACATGCAAAATAGATGAATTGGTCCAGATTCCTCATCACAAGGTCCGCAGGCGATCAGCAGCATGCGGCAGCAATGCAAGGCCATAAATAATGCCCCCGGACATTATACTCGGTAAAAGACACCCTCCTACGCCAACCATTTACTGATTTGCAAGATTGTTTTATTCCACTTTGTGATCTCGAAAATATTGATATTCCGCACACTCTTTCCGCAACAGGCACACGTCAAAGAACACTTCCATTGTCATAATTTCATAAAATTCAATTCCTAACTTGTTATATTTAATTCCTTTTAATTAAGTTTTACAATAATTACAAATACACAAAAGTAACGCACTGTAGAAAAAGTGATCCTTAGCAAATTTTTAGTAGTATAATAGAAATTAGGGAACAGAATATTAGAATATAAATTTGCCATAGCATCCATGTAATGTACATGCAAGAATAAGTCATTTACATGAATGGATTGCAATTTACAATGTAATAAAAAGTCATTCACATAAATGGATTTTAATTTACAAGCGAGAATAAGTAAAGTTCCATAATGGCGGATATCCCCCTCCATACTCTTTCATAAAGGCGGATATCCCTTTCCATACTGTTTCGCATTACTTGGTGCATTATAGCTTATTACGTATTTTGCATTTCGGCAAAACCTCCATTGTTGGAAAATCATTTATTCTGACTTTTTCATTTAATATAAAGCATTTAAACAGTATTTAGCACAAAAATCTATTCTAAGTCGTTGAATAGTCTATTGCACTATGGTAAAGAGAAGGTTTATTATTTGTAACATCTGTAAAGGCTAAAGATCAATCCATGTTCACTCTCAGTACTTTCTTGCTAATTGATTCATTTTGGCGATAATAACTTTTCACATAATCATATGGGGATCTTTTGCTCATGGTAACCGATTGTTTCCAAGTTTGCAGTGATTGCATACATCAATTGAACAAGCCGTTTCGCTGATTTTTGTGAAACAATATCATTTTTGAAACCACGTTATAGTAGCTGACACACACAAGAAAAGGTCTTTTAGACACCGACCATATATCACAATTTGTGATTAGGGTTCATATGGTAGGTTATACTTTCTCCATATTAATATTCGATATTTTCAATAAATATTTATGTGTGTAGCCTCTGTGCTTAAAAATGTTAACAAATAAAACTTTTATCAAACTTTTACTTTAAGAACCAATGTGTCAACAAGTACGGTTAGAAGTGTCCATATTAATTGTATGCAATATAAGTGCGTGTGTGCGGGTTGGTGCGCGCACCCGCGCGCGTTGGCTTTAATGTGTTTTTGTTGCGTTTATTTTATTTTTGTAGTTGTTGCATGTCTTATTGTTGTTGTTTTTTGGGGGTTTATTTGTTGAGAAAGTCTTTGAAATATCAATTACCCTTTTATGTCGTTCATTGTCTTAAAACAGAGTGTTACCATTAGGAACATAATCAGTTTGGATATTTTAGTACATGTATATTTTAGTTCAAATTTTGAACAGTGTAGATATTTTATCTCAACGATAAACTCGTTCTGATTAAAGCTAATGATCGAGCACCCCGCAAATGTAGCTTAACTATGGTAAGACTGGATTCAAAATGTTTAAATGTCATAAGTCACAAACTGTCAGATATTTGATGTAAGATAGTCGCGGTAGCAATTTTGTATCCATTTATATAGAAGTGTTTGATAGAACACCGCTAAGTTTCGAACGTTATCAATCTTTAAAGGTTGCTTCCTGTACTTAATGTTCTTTCAAACAGTGTTAACAAAAGTGACCAAGTCAAGTTATGAGTTGCATTGTTTATTTTCTTAGCTAAATTTTGTTAACATAAAAGTGGCAGAAAAGGTCAGTGTAAGACTTTCATATTCTTCAGCCGTTTCAACATTCTGTTCTGAAAATCAAACAACTTTTTATTAATTCTTTGACGCCGTTGTTTTTACATGTATAGCATTTTCAACAGACTGAATAAAATTAAATAAAAAATTTCTTACTACAATTTATGAAAAAATTGATAACTTTATTTATTATTTTATGTTCAGATCGGACATCGTTTATGTTTTAGGTTACATTGCATTGTTGTCACTTCTTTTAAAAAACGAGTGAAAATGTTTTTTCAAGATACCATGGTGTTGTTTTGAAATAAATATTTACCTTAAATCTTTGTATCACCAATTGGAAGAAAGTGTCCATTGAGATTCTAAACAAAAAACAACAAAATTAATTATATTTCAAAAAGTGTATCTAATGTAAATTTTGAAAATACATAACAGTAGAAATGAGACTGGGTACTATTTGAACCCGATATCACCACTGTCAAACGTTCATCACAGTCATGTATATTGATTTTTTTTTCCAGTCATATATTTTTTCAGAATTAAATGAAATATTCTCATCAATATCAGAGTGATTTTCAAAATAAATAATACAATAAAGTAGATAATTACGCGTAAGCTTCACGTGTAATAATTTCATGTTAGTTTTATATTTAATTCATACTTACTGGCGTCATTCTGCTTGGAATTCTTTTCACCGTTCTTATTTCCTGTGTCTGAAAGCAAATTGTAAAACATATATATATTTCATTGCTATATATTCATAGCTGATGTTTAAAATGTACAAGACATTTCAAAATGAAACAATCAAATGCCAATGCACTTAACTTATAATGTATAGATTTTTTTTTAATTTCCTTTATAAATACAAATATTCAGTTTAATTTAGTTCACGACTTTAAACCACTAGCCCCTTACGACAGGATATTAGGATGCGATCCAGCCAGCTTACGGAACTTCGGTGGTTCTACTCGGGTGCCCGTTCGCGCTTTAAATAATGCACGGAAGGGCACTCGAGGTCTTCCTCCATCAGTAAAGCTGTATATGACTTTTACTTTGTTGGTGCCAAAAAAGGTTCATGAATATTTAATTTAAAGATATTGGTTAGACGTAAGAAAGCAAGGTAGAAATAATATGTGTATTAAGGTTTATTCGAGGGTGAGTCAATATGTAACGCAATATGAACAATATTTCTAATTAAGCTCTATAGTAAACTGCACTATGCTTCGAAACGATGCTTTCAAATGATACCAAAATAGTGAGTGTAGTCAACCGATTGAATATTTTTTTCACATTTAAAAAACACCTTACACAAGTAACTTCATGTAAAAATGGCTTTTAAGCGCTCACATAAAAGAAATACGAACTTAAATAAAAACTAAGAAAATTTGCTATCAATGTTTATAATAATATTTGTAAAATTTATGATAACAATAAAGTTTCCTATCCAGCTGTTTCAAGGTGGATGCATTAATTAGAAATAGGTACGAGTCAATTAAAGGTGCCTTTAAGGTTGTAAGAAAACGTTCCATAGTTACTTACAAAAAAAAGTCAAGCTTATAATTGAAAAAGATTCCAGAATTTCTCTAACCCAGATTGTAGATATCACAGGGATAGCAAAAGAGTCAACTCACACGATTCTGTAGAATCAAAAGAATGTACCCCGTTTGCTAACATCTGACCAGAAGATGGATGGAGTTAAATGCGCTTGAAAATTACTGAAAGGGTTGCCTTAATATGACAGTCACCGTGTTTCTTATATTGTAACTGGTGATTCATGATGGTTTCACTGTTTTTACCAGTAAGCAAGTGGTAAAGTAAGACTTTGGCTGCCAAAAATATTCTTCGACAATGCATTACCAAGGGATTGACTTTTTTAAGTTATGCACGCTATTTATTTCAATATCCTTGAAACTGTTGTCCAAATTCCTGTTTTTAGAGACCGTTCTGTCACATGTTAGTATTATATGGATGTCGTGTTAGGAAAAATTGGATAAAAAATAATAAAATGCTCCAATGAAGTTTGACCTTCGACTAGTATGAAGGGCTAAACTTTTCTGCATGCCAACACTCCTGCACACAACGCAAAGGAGCTAATTGAGTTGGGGGGTTTTTTCGAGGAAATTGAGTGGCTGTCTAGAAACATCCACCTTTTTCTCCCGACTTGGCTATTTATGACCTTTTCCTCTTTCCTATACTTGCAGGTAATTGCTACAAGAGTAGTCGGTCATTTCTCAGTTATTGAAAGGTATACCTAAAGCGGGCTATGTTGAAGCATTTAAAACATTAAATAAAACGTTTGGAACTTTGTAATCATTCGCTTGGGTTGAAATTTAAAACAAAATTAAATATGTGCTCTTTTATTAAAGGGACTCAACTAAAGTTTTTTGACATGACTGTACTGGAAATAATTTTCCTAGATCAATGTTTCATTTTATGCAGGTCTAAACAATGAACTTGTGTGCACAATTTCAGCTCATTTGCTCGCTCCATTTTTTCCAAAACACTTATTCTAATTGTAAAAAAAGAAATGACAAAAAATGAAAAGCACTGCGAAGTTTTTATTTCTTAACTATCTTTAGCATATCTATCTTTTTAGGGGCCTTCAGATGTTCTATATAAGTAATTCCAATTTTACGTTTATTGACACACCCTCGTATAAGACATATATTGTTATCATTTATTTATTAAATTATTTTGGAAAACACTAATTACAGAGAGAGGTTTTTTCACCTTCCCAATAAATTTGCATTTTGTATGTAATTGATTATGCATATGATTTTGGTGATAAACTTATATTTATTACCTTAATATTAGTCTAACTCTTAATCTGATGAATATTTCTTACCTTTTGGTTTGCCTTCATCAGCATCATTGGCCGCAGCTTTAGCACTGACAACCTCTGGTGCAGTAATCACCATAGCAAAAACCAGCATGACCACGAGAAGAGCGCTGACCTTCATAGCTGTGATAGTTCCTTCAACAACAAAATCACTGACTGATATATCCAAGTATAAAACCTCGAGTGTTTATATCTAGAAATTGAAAGGCGTTATAAAATCTCCGGTAGAAAGATACCCTTATATACTTTACGAATCCTTGTTTGAAACCATAAAGATCCTTAACGTTTGTTAAATTCTGTAATAAAATTTGAGTATTTCTTTACTACAATTTTATGGAGGGTAGCAAGTGCTTCCAAAAGCATTTAACATTTTTAGGATTTTAAAAATAAATAAGGATAATATTTCATTGCTCATATCAACTTCACATTATTGACATCTGGTGAATTGAAAATACCGAAAGTACTTTGATTAAACCTTGCACATGTTTCTGCTATTACAATAATAACAAAAAATAACTTGGTGAGACTTTGAAGTTGATTAATTAAATCAAACTAATATTTTATGTTTTAATGATATACAGAAAAAAACAACAACTTGTGTACAAAACAAAATTATATTTGTTATTAACATTCTGGTTGGAGATTAATTTTGTACATCATGAATATGAACTGTATAAACCGGTGTAAGGAATTATCGAATGAGTCCCGTTATCTTTACAGAACGTCCTCTGTTATTATAAATAATCGTAGTATACCATTGATTTTTCCATTGATATGAAAACATAGATTTATCATTTTTGGATATCTGAATTGTTAAAAAAAACTGCATTCATAAAAACGGTTTGTGATACATCAAATCTATAGGACCTTTCCGGTTTTTCGTAGCGGAACATTTAGCCACACATTTTCCATTCATTGCTAGGTCAACTGCTCACAAACAGTATCACAAACATAAGCACGTGTTCTTTTGTGCAAACCAGGTCAACCAGTGACTATGTATTATCTCAGTGTAGCGATTGGATAACAAGTTAGCCAATTAACATTAAACTGTAAACACCGGAAAGGTCCAAGCCTGGGCGCATCAAATATTCATAAAAAATTATATTTTAAATATTTTGTCTTAGTTTTGCTAGGAAATGTCAATGTTATTAGGGTCGAATGACAACGTGTTTTCTTTAATTTGAAATGTGAAGCAGCCCTCTTTGGTATAAGTAATAGCAAACATTTCAGAGGAAAACCGTAAAACTTTCTCACATTTATGGAGGAAAAAGTCATAACAAGTGAGCGACGTTTACTCCTCGAACAAGAAAACTTTAGAACACAGTTCTGATTATTTGACATTGGTATGATATTATTACTTTTTAACGTAAATTATACAGTCGTGTCGGATTCTGCTTGCTGATCATGTTGTTGCTATGTATTCTTAGCAACTGGATACATAGATTAATAAAGGTGAATAAACTAATCTAAAAACTGCCCAATTCCACCTAAAACTGAGTCTTTGTTGTCGTGCAGTAGTTCAGAAGAACCATATTTGTAAAGAGTTATATGTTGTATAGTTTATATCTACGATGGCTACACTACAAAGAGTGGTGTTCTAATTCTAATATGAATGCATCTAAGCACGTACGTGGCCTTTTAAAAATATGTGTACAATGTACCTTCGTAACATTACTATGATCATTTGGATTGAATTCCATAAATTATCTATATCCGTTAAAAAATATATATAGATATGTAAAAGAAAACAAACATGTTTTGCAAGTACCACATTGACAACATTGTTAGTGTATACTCTTTAAATTAAAACTGCTTATTACAAGATATCATCTCTAAAAGGTTGCTATGTCCCTATGTAAATAATCATGTAACGTTTAGTTTTAAAAAAGAAAAACATAAAACGAAAACAAAACGCAAAAGCTATATCTGCCTTCTATCTTTTGATACTTAAATATACTTTGCAATAGAAAAGTGTGTTAAATATAAAGAAAAGTTGATAAAAAACATGTTCTTTTAAAAGAGAAAACCCATATGTAAAGTATATACCATATCATATTTAAACAGTGAACTTACATAATTGTATTGCATGTAAAGAAAGACGCTGAAATAAATCTTTATGAAATACATTATTCCTGCAGTGATATTGTGGACACGATACCCTGCCAGTGGTTGAGATAATGCCTAAACTATAGAAATATGACACAAATTTAGAGACTTATTTTTTTATCCATCTAAATTAAAAAAAATGTTTAATTTTCAAAAACAGCAATACAAGTTATTTCTTTTAAGAGAACAAAAAGATAAGTTATGTATCTATGTGAAAATACTAAAGAAATCTTCAAAACCAAGTACCTCGGTATCAAGTTTAAAAACAAACTTAATTTTATGAAAGTATTTGATTTGAAAAAAAATTACTGCCTAAACTTTCAACAATGTTATTTATTTGGCTTTGTTGAAACGCTTTCTAGATATGTGAACAGGCTTAGTATGGTCTTTTTGTTCACTTTAATACTATTCACATGTTGTTTCTTCCCTCATTTGTTTTCCTATCAGCAAAGAACCTAAAGATTTATTATCTTAATAAATCTTAAAACAACAAGCACTTAAACAAGTTGAGTTGATAATAAATATACCTGATAACCTTAAAGCAGCATGTAAACGCCATTTTCAATCCACGTAAATTACCAAGTAAAGGTCAAAATGTGCAAAATACAGTCTTAAGACACGGAGTAGAAATATGGCTATAAATACTGCAATATAAGTCATAAATTTCAAATAACATGTAACTCATTTCTTGAATTGTAAATACTTTTTTTTATAGAATCTTAGTACCTTTTTTCAAAGTTGATTTTCATCTGGAGCATGAAGCTATAAAGGGACTCCTCTAATGTCTTTTGTAATTCGTCAAGACTAATAACATGTATGCAATATTTCAGGTAATTCGCTCGATCTGTTGTCCAGAATAATCATTTTAATTGCGCAAAATGACCCCAAAATGAAAAGCGTCTAACGCTTTGAACTTTAACGGGCTGTGAATCACACAATAAATCAATTTTAATCTGAGTATATTTCTTTATTTTATTTCATTTATAATTATTTTCATCAAAAGTAGAACAATTAGAATCAAGAAGTAAACAGTTGGCTGATGATTTAACCTATGTGCAATCTCAATCAATGAGAAATAACTTGGTGTTTGGAAATATTGAGGAGGCGCGCCAAGGGGAAAGTGAAGATACAGAGTTAGTATTGCGGGGATTTCTTGTGGAAAAGATGAAAATTGCTAGTGATTTAGTAGCTCAATTGAAATTTGAAAGAGTGCATAGGATGGGCGAAAGGCAAAGAGGAAGGGACAGAAAAATAGTGGCAAAATTCAATTTGTTTAAAGAGAGAGAACTGGTTCGTAAAAGTTGGAAATCAGTAGACAATTCCAAGTATTTTGTTCACAAGCAGTTCCCAAAGGAGGTGATTGATAAGAGAAGAGCGTTAATCCCGAAAATGAAGAAGGCTAGGACAAAGGGACAACGGGCTTGGTTATCTTACGATACATTGTATATTGATGGTAAAGCACAGCGAGACGACCGAAGGTAGGGATTCGATGAGGATAACCTTGGAATTCTCTCCTGGAATGTTAATGGTCTGACTGCTGAGAAAATAGAAGACGATGACTTTATTAACATCTTAAAACAATTTGGTATTATCTTTTTATATGAAACCTGGGCAAATGTGAATTCAAATATTAATCTAAGTGATCATGTATCATATAATTATTTTAGAAACTTTCAACACCGGAACTCTAGAAGGTGTAGTTGTGGGATCGCTTTACTGTATAGAGAATCGTTAAAAAGTGGCATAGAAATAGTGCGTAACCATTTTGATACAATCTTATGGATTAAACTTGATAAACATTTTTTTAGTTTAGAAAGAGATATATACATATGCGGAATTTATTTATGGTGTGAAGATTCACCAGCGTACAATGTATGTGATGTCGATTTGTTTAACGTCATTCAAAACGATGTGTATGAATTTGAAACGGAAGGAGAACTGCATTTTATTGGAGAATGGAATAGTAGAGTTGGTACGAAAAAAGATTACATTGTTTGTGATGCATTAAATATTGATATTGATTATGATATGTATGACCCAGATGTACCCCTGTTTCGGGCCTAACTTGACAATACGTGTAACACTTTTGGTCATCGTTTACTTGAATTTTGTAAAAGTACAGGTTTACGTATTATTAACGGTCGAATAGATCACGATCGTAACGGTAATTTTACGTTTATTTCGAGACAGGGGGCATCTGTTATTGACTATTTACTCACTTTGAATTGTAATTTTTTCAGAATTAGTAATTTTACAGTTCATGATTATACGGTATGGAGTGACCACTGCCCTATTTCTTTTAATTTATTTTGTAATAAATCACAAAATATTGAAATAAACCAATGCAAGGAAAATCTTTGCAAATATGTTTGGTCAAATAACCTAAGGGAGGAATTCAGAGCAAAGTTAATAACTGAACTACCGGTTTTTAATACGTTGTTAAATAATGTAGATATGTGTAGTAAATTATCTATTAATGCGCTAGTTTCTGATTTTACCTGTCTGATACAAGATGTAGCTATGGTCCAGGGGTTAGAGTCGATGACTTCTAATCTAGTTACCTCTCTGGCGTGGGTTCGATCCCCGGGAGATGCTTTGGTAGTTTAGCGCGGAGGAAGGTAGTCTAGTACTGGTGTAACTCTCCAGGAACGATGGTTAGGAAACTACCCGCCTATATGACTGAAATACTGTTGGGAAAAGGCGTAAATGAAACAAACAAACAAACAAAAACAAGATGTAGCTAGCCCTTTGTTTTGTAAATCTTATTGTGTAAATAATAGTGTTGATTTTTGTAATACATTTAATGATAAAAATAAGGTTTGGTTTGACCAAGAATGTGTGCAGGCAAAACATGCATATTTAAATGCTTTACGTAACTTTAACAGAGTAAAATGTTATGAAAATAGGGATGAGCTTTGTCTTTTAAAAAGCAATTATAAACATATTGTTAGATTAAAGCGTCGACGTCATATTGCTTTAAAGGAGCGTGAAATCGAAAAGTTACGTTTTTCCAATCCTAGAGAATTTTGGAAATATTTTAAACATAACACTAGTTCGAAGAATAATATTTCAGTGGATGAATTTTTTGAATACTTTAAACGACATTTTTCAGTCA